GTAACCCAAGGGAATGCAGAAATCATGGGACAGTATCATTAATATCACATGCAAGCAAAAGTTTGCTGAAGATAATTAAAAAATGTGTTGAGGCCACTGAACACCGCATTCCTTTATGTAGTACTTACAGATAAACATCTCTCATACTTCGGTCATATTATCAGGAGAGACCAGTCTCTGGAGAAGGACATCATGCTAGGTGAAGTGGAGGGTCAGTGAAAAAGAAGGAGACCCTCAACAAGGTGGATTGACAAGGTGGCAGCAGCAATGGGCTCAAGTGTTAGGTAACAATGACTGTGTGGTTGGCTCAAGATGGGGCCGTGTTTTGTTCTGTTGCGCATAGGTTTGCTATGAGTTGGTACTGACTCTATGATACATAACAATGACAACAATTCAACATGGTGGCCTGATGTGAGCTGGAAGATCAGCATTGGATTGTTAGCCTCAGGTTCGTGGTTCAAACCCACCAGCCACTCCTCAGAAACCTTATACAGGGTCGCAGTGAGTAAGAACAGGGTCACTATGAGTCAGAACTGACTTCATGGTACTTAAAACAATTCAATATGGAGGAGGAGGTCAATAAACTGGAATAGATATTCCACCAAGCTGATTCTAGTCTGGATTGCATTCTTTCTGCAGAGTCTAGAACGTGAAATCTAGAACAATCTTTCTGATTCAGCCAGCTAGAAAGATCCAGTTACACTCTTGAAGGAACTGTCAGCGATAAAGTCTCCAGATCAGAGTTTGCATACATGTCTTACACCAGATGCTGTTGAATAGAAAGACTGTTGCTAAGTGCTGTTGAGTCACTTCTGAGTCATAACAACGCTATGTACAAGGGGGCCCTCCGCCATGCCCACAATTCCTGCTAAGGTTGAATGCATTTGTTTTACACTGAATAAAACTATTACCGAGATGCCCACAATTCCTGCTAAGGTTGAGTGCATTTGTTTTACACTGAATAAGACTATTACCATGATGCAAGAACTACAAAAGCTAACACACTTGCAGTCATCATCACTGACGAAAGAAGAAAAAACTGCAGGAAGGCAAATGAAATCTCACTTGCCAGACTTGTGAAGAAATGAACATGCCAAGGGAAATGTTAATGGAGACCAGATCAGTTTCAGAGAAATGAAGTAAGATGTCTTAACTCTTGCTCACTAGAACAGGGGAGAAGGATAGTGACACTGTTGAGAAATAAGGCAGATCGTAAACAAGCAAAGTTCAGTGAAAGGATGAAAGAGGAATAAAGGATTTTACAATATATACTCCTACTTAGTATAGTGGAGTCCTGGTGTGGCGCTGTGGGTTAATGCGCTGGACTGCAAAGTCGTTTAAACTGCATAGTTGGTGGTTCAAGCTCACCAGCTGCTCCTTGGAAACCCTATACAGGGTCATCATAGGTCGGAACCGACTCGATGGGCACTTAACAATAACAACAACAATTCAGTATAGTAATTTCAGGCAAGAAAATCCCTTTAGACTATTTTGCATCTGTTGCTTTTTTTTTAAATCAGGATATTTAATGTAGACATCCTGGTCTATTGTAAAAGCTATTTTACATACTATCAGTCAAACTGTGACTGTACATGCTTTCAAATTAAAAGGATCGATGTACTGTTTATTTCATATATTTAAAAAAAGAAAAGGAAGGAAGTCTTTATTTCTGCATCTTGAATGGAAGGAAAACAATGGGGGGCGGGAAATCTTCCACGTATGGGGGAGAACAAATTTGAGCAAAATTTAGCTTTACTCTTGTTTGCTAACTCACTCCAGTTTTATTTGTAAGCTTTGTTTAATCTAATTACAATTCAACCCCCTTATTAAGCACATTGTTTTGCTGAAGGTAATACAGAAACAGCTACAATCATACATTGACAGAGAACTTTCAGTGGTTCAAGCCGGATTCAGAAGAGGCTGTAGAATGAGGGATTCATTGCTGATGTCCGATGGATCTTGGCTGAAAGCAGAGAATATCAGAAAGATGTTTACCTGTGCTTTATTG